TTTAAAATTTTAAAAAATATAATAAATAATTAAAAGCAACGTTTTATATTTACACAATAAAAACTTTATTGAAGCCATACGCATTATTAATGTGACAAGGGGAAAGTGTAAAATAGTCTTGTAAGTTACTCCTGAGGATGACGTAGTTCACCTCGAAACATGTACGTGTAGAGTTATATTTCTATTTTAAAATGGAAGCCATACGGCTTCAATAAAGTTTTTATTGTGTAAATATAAAACGTTGCTTTTAATTATTTATTATATTTTTTAAAATTTTAAACACAAGTGCCGGTAGTACATATTTATAAATCTAACAATGAAATGTATGACAAAAATATTTACAAGACAGAGGAGTTGAACTGTAACATCAAAGAAGAAAAGTAAGCAATTGTTTAAACAAGTTCAATAAACAGATATAGTAGATTACAATATAGCAAAAAGAAATTTTATAGTAGACCTGGAATACCACCTGCCGTGGAGGAAAGGAATATGGAAAAAACTGCAACAGGGTTTACAACGAAAACATTTGTAAGACAGAGGAATAAGTTGAAAAGGGAGATACTTTAATTAAATTTTTTAGTGAAATGCAAAAGATATAGCATCAATCCGAAGTTTATACAAGTAAAGAGTAACATGAAAGGAAAGAAAATCGACCACTGTTTAAACAAGATTAAGCAGCAGATATTGAGGATTATGATACAACAAAAAAGAAGTTTCATAGCAGACCAAGAGTACAAAGTGTATCAATTACATTTGGCGGCAGCAAAAGAAAATGGGCAAAACTGGTTAGAATGTGAAAATTTCTATTGGATTCGTATGAAGAAAGACATCAATAAATATAAGATAAATTAGATAAGAAAAAATTTAATAAGTTAATAGAAAAAGAAAAAGGAAATCAAAGTAAATTAAGAACATTACCAGAAAAATATAAGAATATTTTAGAGAATCCTAAAACAGTTAATAATTTGAATGAAACGTTAAATACTAAACAACAGGAAGTGTTAGAAAAAGGCTTGGGTTTTGCATGTAGGTTAACAAATTATAACAAACCTAACTATAATAAACAAAATGTTGATTATAAAATCAATAAAAGAAAATAGTAATATAATCGTTTGTATGACAAGGGGATAGAAGACATATTAAAAGAAAGTACATATGAAAAGCTTAAGAATAGCACAATAAACAAATATCATGAAAACGTAAAACTAGTATTAAGAATAGCCTAATTTGAACTCCTGAAGAGAAAAAATGTTTAGTACCAAGTAGATTTATTGCACCAAGGTGTTACGTATTACCAAAAATACATAAAAACAATAACAGTTTTAGGCCCGTAGTATCAAATATAGGTTCATCATGTTATGAAATAGCAAAATTTATAACATATAAGTATTCTTTTTGAGAAAAAAGAACAAACATACAGTCAAAAATCCTATAGAATTTGTAGAGAAAATTCAAAACATAAAATTAGAAAAGGAAGACTTACTGGTATCATT